ATGTGCCTATCAAGTCCATATAAAATGTTCACGATTCATATATATATATATATATATATATATATATATATATATATATATATATATATATATATATATATATATATATATATATATATATATATATATATATATATTACAGTAGCCAGACCAATATACTTATAACCTTGCTTTAATCTGAGAGAACATGTAAGATCATTATATTCGCGTTTCGACTGTACTCTAGGGAAGTGATCAATAATTTCATTATTCTCATCCGAACACCGAAAAGATAAAATACAGTGGAACTTGTAATCATCTATCCCATATCACATTGATCTTTATGTTGCTATGAATCCATAGATATTCTTAGCTAATGACTTTACGTCTGAATTAGGATGAGTAGATAAAATGTAAGTTTGGTACTAAAGTGTTCGGTTCCTTACTACTTACCAGTTACTCAGTATTCTCCTTACCTACGTCCGAAACGGTATGCAGAAGGAGGGAAGCATGAACAGATGCTTTACTTCTGAGGCTTATTTGTGTACAGAAAACAAGGGTACTGGGTGGCCTTGATGTTCTTTGAGCTTGCGGAAGCACAAAAATTAGTAGCAATCTAGGTAATTATACAATCAGAGTGTTAAACATAAACCTATTATTTCCGAGAAGTTTCTGGGAAGTTATCATTGAATGCTGACTGGACGAAATAATCTTTAGACTTTTTCAGAAGACTTTTTCTAGGTATTCGTGAGGGGTCTTGACGAAAAACATGTTTTATTCAGAAAAGTTGTTTATGGAGACTTCTTTGATTTGAAAATACCTTATCATGGATTAAGATCAGTTAGAAAACCACTGCGATCCTGAGATTTTTTCTCGTCGATAAGAGTTCTGTATTCTACGTAGAAGCAAATGGGAATTCTCCTGAGTGAAGCCAAGGGTAGATATTTGAAAAGTCCTAATTTTAGTGAACTAGACACTTAGCTCTTTGTAGGCAAAAATGATTCGCCAAATTATGTCAGTTTATAATGAGAGCTTACTTTAAATGCAAAACTCGTTTTCTTATGTATTATAGAATAAACTAGATTAACTCACTTATCTGATATTGAGTATCAATTGTGATTAAAGAAGTCATCTCCAAATCGAATCCTTATGTAAGGAATAGTAGTTTAGAAAAATACTTAGGGTTAAACTTGGCAATAAGTTAATTCCATATGATAAAAACAATGGATTTTTGTAATCAAGTAAATTCAACACAAACTAGCTGTTACTTTGAAGGTATTCAGTTACTAGGCAGAGACCAAAGTAGTAAGAGCTGTCATTTAGTCGGCTACAAATTTCATCCACATACATTTAAAACATTTGAAAGGTTATTTGTTTGAAAATATTATAACATAATCAATTAAATAACAAAGACAAAGATATTTCTAAGTAGTGCAAACCACCGGAGAATTACACATGATAATATGTTTCACAAGAATTAAAAGTTATTATTTTCCTGAGGAAAATGGAATTTCTTTGGAGAAGATGAACAAATTTGTTTAGTTTAAAGATGACTTTCATTACAAACTGGCATTAGATCAAAAACCATCAGGAATTAAGCCGCACTAAATAATTATTTTATCTTAGATTTTGGATCATCAATACTGAATACTCGTGTTTAAAATGTATTTAGAGTCCAGAATCTTCAAGTCTTAAAATGAGCATTGGACATTCGGATCACTAAGTCACGATTCAGCTGTCTAAATTTCTAACTTCAATCAATTCACAATCACTATTTAGTGCTGAGTTATTGTCTTACTTATGGTTTAATTAACTCCATAGGTTATTGGTTTTATCGTTAAAACAACATACTGTCTGGCTGGTATCGATTAATGATGAAAAGCACCTTAAAATGAAGTTAATTGCCACAAAATATCTAACCAAATAAAATTGTCTTATTATTTTTTCTATTCAATCCTACTTTAGAGTCATTTTAAGCGTTTCAAATACAAGTACACATTCAAAGAATAGTTATAGGGGCATAATTAGATCTTTACAACTAACATTTTAAATAGTAAGCAAATCATTGAGTAATTGATTAATAATTACGTTATTATTACTATAAATCGTACAAGATGAAGGATTAAATAAGGTCATCTTATCATGAAAAAGTTGAACTAATCTTTACAAAAAAAGTAAATATAATCGAATAAGACTGAAAAACTTTAGATTTATGTGAGGCATACGATTCAATGGTTAATAATGTCTCTCAATGAATAGCTGTGACCTTACACTTTCTTATTTCTAGATCTATTCTTATTATATTTATTTTAATTCTCAGTTTAAATACCTCAAATCTCACTTCTGTTATGATGTGTACTACTTATACGGACAGATATAAGTAGCACGTGGCAATAATTGGAAGTAGAATCCTTACCGGTAAAAGAAAAAAATTAGAAAGCAATCCAGAAAGTAATCGAAATAACAAAATAAATAGAAGAACGATAGAGTTTGGTTTTGAAAATTCAAAGATGTGCAAACTAGTGTATTCAATCTATTGTTCCACATTTTACAAATGCGACATAAGTTCACACGGTACATTGATTTACGTATGCCCAAGTTTTCGCTCTCTACACTATCGTCTATATTTTTAGTTAGTTCAACGGTAAGCATGATACTTTAAGATCATCTATGATGATTTATAACCCTCATAACTTCCATTTTTCATGAAAAATTAGCACTGTTGTAGATTAGAAAGAGCTTAGTTTTGTACAAAGTACTCATCATTTAATGGAGGTATTTATCTTGTTACCACCACAAATGAAGTAGATTTAGAAATCAGTCAAAACTATTGTGTCTGTGCTGATACCTTGCTATCACTATCTCATCAGGACTGATGCAAATCTTAAGACAATTTAAATAACAACTGTAACCAAGATCTTTATTTCGATAGTATTAATCCAAACCTTGATACAAACTGATGTCGTATTCTCCGTTCTAGAAAACCTTTTAAAAGTGAATACTTTTTCTCAAGTTTTACAATGTGAATTATAATTGTAATGACTAGTTTATTTTAAGTTAACGAGCATATTTTATGACAAACGACTAAGCGATTATCGTTTCTAGAAACTTAAGTTGGGATAATAAAGACAGAAGATGAATAGTCTTGTGAAAAATTACTTATTCCTCTACAACCAGTAAGACCACCAATGTTCGGTTGTTCAGTTGCTTGCAATATTATGTATGAATCGGGTTTGCACTAGTAGTGAGAGAAAAAAACTATAAGGCTGGTTGATTTGTATGACCTTAAACATGGTGGTTTTCCCTAGCTTTCCTGCTAGTTAATTTCATCTATGCATCAAATGGTTGTATATCAAAGAATTTTAAAAATAATGTTACATTAATTTCTCTGTAAAAATCGTTAGTGTGATCAATAGTAAGTTCTGGTCGTAATCATTCCTGACAATTATACATAGATAAGTGTGTCGATCCGATTAAATAACCCTTCTCATATTTCTTCAAACACTACTGGAGCTCTTGGTTGTCTCAGACCTATCAACACTAGTTCAGATTAGGTGGGAATTCTGAGCCAATATTAGCATCTACCTGAGGCAAGGACGGAGAGATGATATATGATGGATAGTTCTGGATCACTCGAAAGGCTCTTGGAAGAGTTTTTCATTCATTAGGTGGTCACTTCTTCTTGGCTAACAACAAACTGATCGTATTCCAGTTTAGCTCATCCCTCCAAATTTTAATGAGGTCATGCTTTTTCATAAGTCATAGTACCTACAAATTATTATTATTTTTCTAGTATTCTCTTTCTTTTCTGTATATTCGCGTCTGGGTAACTGTAGTGGGTTTAGTTTCTGGCAGTTTTGAGATACAAACCTTGTTAGGAGTTGTGACACACGAAAAATTATTTATATCTTCACTCGAAAATGAGTAACGTGTTAATTCGATATCATCAGTTAGTTAGTTATATGCGATAATCATAAGAGTGGTACGAGGAATATGTATTGAGATTTAGATGGTGGTTGGAGATAGTCAACAGGAAACCCTGGACCCGGGTTTCGTGCTACTTGGCACTCGTCAGCAAGGTGTACCTGTAATCTTGAGGGAACTGATGCTCCCTGGCGGATTCGATCTCATGTCACCCAGCTTCACAGTCAGAGACGTTACCACCGAGCTATCCGAGCCGTGACTAACCTCCTGTAGAACTGAGATGTAATCACAATTGATTGATCACCACCCAGTGATCAATCAATTGTGACAAGGAATATGTGTTTTTAAGTCGATACAGGTTCCTAAGAAGCAATATTTTATTGTTAATTCCTTCGTTATATTATATAATTGCCTCATATTTTCCTTACATGCAGCTTTTTCCGCTGTCACTGCAAGGTCTTCCTCTTTACTCTGTTGTTTGCTCCTGTATATTCGGTCAATGCCTTCGATTTCTCTACTCTTGTTCAGCTGTTGTTAATCCCTATTTCCTTTTAATTATTTACCTACAGAGATCCACTATTTATCCTGGTGCTTCTTGGGGCCCAGTACTTTATGGCACGTCGAAGTTATTGATTTTTCGATTCCTTCCCAATCGCTCTCTATGATGTTTTCTTATTCACATAGTAGATCACGCAGCGCCCAGAAATTATTGTTGAGCAAGGTCTTGAGTTTGTTTGCACCTCAAAGAAAGGCTGTATTAAACCTGTGTGGTGCAGCCCATTCAATGCTTTTTTAGCTTTAGTTTTAAATTGCTCACCACCAGGTGGCTGTTTGAAGCAATATCAAATGTTCTCTTTGTTCTGATGACTTTCATGGACATTCTGAACTACGTACTCTCACATATCATTGACCTGGGGTTTTTTTTGTAGCAGCTTAGTGGGTGCATTTGAAGGGGAAAAGGCTGAGGTTTACAATAATTGTAACTCATATTTAAATGACACTGAACAGAATATGAAACTTGTGTATGGATCATTACCCTAGTGATTAAAGTGCTCAGCCTATGACCAGCAGATAGGAGATCCTAACTCAACTTTAGCTGGGTAATGTAATAGGTCTTTATATGAAGTGTAGTTTAAAGCAGAAACCATAGCACTTACACCTTCTAAGCATTTATGTTAATTTAATGAACATCTTAATTATTTAGAGCACCATATGATATGTTTTTGTACCTTACGACATCGTTTATCACTAATCATAAATTCAAGACTAATGAATAAAATCCAGGACACGAAAAAGACAAATAATGTAATTCGAAAAACAATGTGAATATAAGCAAAATAAACAACGATATCCGAAGAGATTAATTACACAAATATTAAGATAAAATTGCCTATCTTATACAGAAAAGTACGAAGTACGAAGAGAGAAAGAAACTATCGTCACTCAGAAATACACTTATCAATCACCAGTCACACGTATAGAGAACGCACTCCCTAAGAAATATATTATTAGGAAGAAAAGAAGATATATAGTGAACAACGAAAGAAATAGCAGTGAAAGTTAGGAATAAACGAAGATGATGGAGTGGACAATAATCATTGATTGACTAACCATAATTACTTTGAATCTAATCACGTGTATTTTCTACACTGAAAATATTGAATACGAAGTCAAATACATAAAAAGAGGGAAAACAAAACCACTTAAATTATCAAAATCACCACAAAACAATGTTGCAAGATGAAATGAAGATTAGACAAAGGAAAAGTAGTAAAATAAACATTCTAAATTTTTAAAAAAAGTAGTAGAGTTTCAAAAAAGCAAAACAATACGGAACAAATATGACAGGATAAAACGTAAGAAGAAAAAGGAATGACAATTTAAACAAGTGACTTAAGCACACAATTGTCATTCACTGAAGATAAAACATAAAATATATGGACAGATAAGTTAAATTTATATTTAAAAAAAGCACTATTATTTTATATACAAAATTTAAAGGGAATTTTATGATGATACATGGAATCCTTTTCTCATTGAACAATCATGACAATGGATAAACTAAGTTTATTTATTAATTACAAATATGAATTGTTCCAATACAGATCATTAAAACACAAAAAGGAATTTTTATCATTGAAATAAATTGGTTAAGAACTTTGAATGCTAGTGGGTTTTTTGCTTGTTTATTTTGAAAACAACTGCAACCATACATAATATGATAAAACTTGTGTCATATAGAATTCAATAGTCGTGTAAATTCCTCAAGACTAATGAAAAACACTGATTTAGGTAAAAACGGACCACTCTCTCTCTCTCTCCATACATATATATATATATTTGAAAGAGAATTTGGATAGATTAGATTCATAACGTTTGAAAAAAATTGTTCATATAGCGGTGATAGGAATAGTTAATGCAAGAAAAAAAAGCAACTTATAGGCAAAAGTTTCCAAATACAACAGCCAAAAATTGATGTTTGTAAAAAGGAATATAAATACCGTTTATATCATGAAGCAAAGAAAAGAAGGAAGGATAGTTGGTTGGATGAACAGATGGGTGGAATGTTTATTTTAGTCCTTAGAACTTTTTATAGATATCATAGTAACAGTTATAAATTTCAAATATGAAGAGACATTGATTAGATAAGATAATGCGATTATTTGTTTGTTTACACTTTTCAGCGAACGAATACATAAGTGATTACACAGAATAAAGTCAGAAAAAGGTTATAAAAAAAATTATTTCTGAAAGGAACAGAGAGAATTTCAAGTTCTTTACTGTCTCCCAACTATTAAATAATACCTTATTATATTCCATATTCTTTTGGCTGTACACGATATGTTGAACTGGCTAAAGTGGCCAACGTAGCATTAATCATGTTATTAATATTATGTTGATTTGAACTAACAATTTTATTATTGTTTGATGATCTAGTTAGACTAATAGGTTGTTGCGGTGGTATCGTTGAGTCATGATGTGAAGGTGTATACAGTGAAGCAGCAAGTAAGTCTTCAGCTGTTGCCATATTCGAACGGGATAATCCACCATCTTTTTGACAATTCATCTTTCCAGGCATATCATCTGATGTATGTGATGAATTAGTGGAATATTTATGAGATTTTAACTTAGTATTAGATATAGACTCTGTTTTATTGTTCAGATCATCTGGTTTACGTATTTTTGATGGATAATAACCATGGCGAATATAAAAGTAGATATCATCAATTTCATCGTATGTTTTGTAAATTTCTTCTTGTGTCATATAAGATTCTGGAGTTGGCATCAAATCACTTCGTTGTTTCGCTTGTTGACGGGATGTATAAGAATCACGAGGCTCGCGTGTTATATCTTGCATATGTCGAACTAAATAATTGAGTGTTTCTTGAGCATGAGCAATAGCTAGAAAATTGCATGCTTGTATACGATGATTTTCCATGGAAAGAGCATAAGTTGGATCATGCGTATAGCCAGTTTGAAATGAATGATCACGTAACATTGATGGTGTAATCAAAAATAAACGTTCTGGTGAAGACACTGGAGCAATAATTAAAATATCACCTCTATATAAAGAGTGTAATCTTAAAAAATGTTTTTCAGTGAATGAAAGTGGTTGAACAGCAACTAGACCACAAGTTACTTTGGGATTACTATTCATAAGTGATGGACGTCTCATAGATGATGTGTTGGTTGTATAGTTATAAGAGTCTGGTAAAGGTATGGGTCTAACTGACAAAGGTAAGCGGAATTTACGAAGTAGACCAGATAACAAATGAACTCCAGAAATATTTTCTGGTCCAGCGATAACACTTAAGGAGAGTTTAGGAGGAAACACTGCAGGTGTAGAATCTTCTACGCCAAGGTAGATAGTACGTGAAAGAGGTCTAACCGGGAGTAGATCGGAATGAATGGATGATTGTTTTGAACAACTGGATCGTTCAACTGCTAGTATAAGGCCTAAATCCTTGGTTTTTTTTCCACGTTTAACTGAGCATTGAGGTAGATAAGCGATAAACCGTAGAAGTGTTCCAGCACGAACAAAATCCGGTTTTGAATTAGCCAATGTTTCTGGTGAACATGCCAATGTAACCAGACTTGATGGTATTGAATATGGTGAAGTATCATCATTTAATTCTCTTCTTTCATCTGAAGAAGGTATGACCAAATTTGGAGGTGCTACTAAACAACGCATGTCTTGTCGAACAATGAAAGTCGAAGCTCTGGTGCGCCTTACCTGTTCAAGTGTTGTTATATGAGGAGTTGGCTGGTGATTCTCATTCAAAACTTCATACCATCCTCGACATTGTCGAAAAAGAATTAATTTTGATTGAACTTCACAGGAAGAGGTAGGAAAACGTGGATTCTTGTCTTTAGCTGTCCATAATTCCCAAGTTGCAGAGGCCAGTGTTGAATCCGGTACTGGATATAACATGAGACTGTCATAATTTCTTAAGGCGCAATGACATCCTGAACGTTTACAAATAGCTTTGATCAAATAAGTTGTTCCTGGACTACCTGAACGAAACTCGTACATCAATTCAGACAACGGCTGAGGTGGACCTGGATGCCAGTAAATTCCAGTTTGTAAGCTAGGATCGTTTGATGCTTCAGACTTTTCAAAATGATCATTAGGTGTAGTAATAGTAGTATTAGTTGTTGTATTGGCATTTTCCCCTCTAAATAAGACACAAAGAGAATAAACGCCATTGGATAGTTAGGCACTGTTAAATATCCATTTCTCTTACCTATAACTTTCATACAAAATATACAACGAGAAAATTCAGTAAATCTATTGAGCGATTATTACTTTACTGCAAAACTCTTCACATATACATAAAATTATTAATCTAATTTTCTTTATTTACTGAAATTTCTAGGAGAGACATAACAAAATACTTTGAATGGAAGTGAACTACTAAAATCGCTACACTTTTCAAAACACAATATACAGATAGTTAGTCAATAAAATCGAAAGAAAGAAATTTTATGAGACAGTATTAAAGACTCTGATCATAAAATAATAGAATATTATAGTATAGTCTTTTTTCATAGTGTAATACAAAGAACAAGTATTAATTCAGGCAACGATGCTTTCTATACAAAAGAGCTAATCAACCTACCGTAGATGATACAGACTAGATAAAAGGTCTTAAAGTTGTTATAAAAAATATATGATAGATTTGGAAGAATTATTAAAGCATTGGTCAGATGTTTAGTTAACATTATTCAAAGTACTTTTATTATTAGAGTTAATTATGTCTAGTAGATATGAACACAACATATCAGAATCATATTTATAGTAAATAGTGTTTTGTAAAAATTACCTTGGCAAAGTATTCGTTGAAATATGTCAGCAGTTTTTACTGATGCTATACCCATTTAGATATTTGGTAAATAGACAACAGTTTAACTATCACAATTTCTTAGATAAACCTTCAGTGTATTTTTCGTTTTTAGTACAATAAACATAGGTTTAAACATTTACGAATCACACAGGGAAAAGTGTTGCCTTTAAGATAGTTAGCTTTGAATTGATGTTGCTTATTTTGATTTGGAAAGCTAATAATCAAGATCGGTTTGAAAAGCTGAAACACTACACTTTGCTAATAGTCTATCTATATAGAGAATCTCACAAATATACAGTGATGCTCTGAAGTGTACCAATTCATAATGATATGGAATCCCTCCTGAAAGTAAACGAATCACAGTCACCATTTATGTAGACCTGTGAATGATCAACTGAATATCATTTTATGAACATCTATACTTATTATGAAATAGTCTATGAAGCTATCATGAGTGAAAGAACAAGAAATTAGCTTATTATTTAAACAAAAAGTAATCAGTGTGAAATTTAAATGTGTCAGTTGAATAATCAAACTGTACGAACAACAATCAATGGTAATACTACAAAACGCACTTTGACCTTAGTTTAGTCATCATATAAGGGAGTGACTGATATAAAAATAATTTTATCTGAATGTCAGAGCACATTGAGTTTATGTCTTGTACTAATTTGCCAAATATTCAACTGTGTATATATCTTAGTTTCCAATGTTAATTAGTAATGTGAAACTTCAAATTGAAAAATCTCCATGTTTACTAACTTTGAAAGTGGATTTCCCGAGTCCTAGCAAGAAGCAGTGTTCATAGGAACACAATCATTTCAGGCGTGAGACAAATATCACCAGTGCAAATGGATGATGTTCGGGCGATATCGCGAATTGATTGACGTTAGAAATGTAAACGGTTGGATCCTAACTCAGCGGTCTGAAGATTGAGCGTTCACCATGAGGCGGTGATAAGGTTATTAATTCCCACTTCTAAAGAGTCCCATACAAGGAAGAAACCACTGCCTAGTGCTACCTGATTCTCAGTAGTTGTCTAATTGTAGTCATCCCGTAATATTACACTTCATAAACCACATAACGGTGATCTTCAACTCTGCTGGTAAGCATAAAGATGAATATTATAGAGGATAGTTAAACCAGCATTAAGGAATTATATGCTTCTTCACTGTTATCGGTAGTCTTCTATTTTCAATGAGTCTGCAGTTACGCAACATCTCTTTGTATACCATTTTATGCATATTTAATCAAATAGAGATAAATGTAACCGTACATTATTGAAAACAATTTTCAATGATATAATGAAATATCCAAAACTTATGTATTTGACTTATCTATTTTTAAATTCTATGATATGGTAATAAGTCACATGGTATCATGTATGTTAAGATATGATTTCTTTAACAAAAATTGATTTTTATGAGTTGAGTTCCACCAAAAATTATACATATATAAACAATCTTAGATAAGATACATGCTCACATGGACGCCCACACTCAACAAACGCACGTAAATGAAAATTATATGATCTATATTCTATTTCCAAATAAAGTTAAAAAAGTACACTAGTTTTATGCATACAAACAAAATAAAATCGATTTATATGGTTGGTTATTTAATAGCAAACAGTTGGTCAATGTAATTGGATAGAAGCCAGTAAGAAAATGCGACAGTCTATTTCACAAGGATCGCAATTCAAAGAAAAATATGTTAGTTGAATTGAACCAGTAAACCTGTTTTGTCAGTTACATTAAAAGTTAATGGAGGGAAAGTCTATTAATGCTAAGTAATGAACAATATAATATTAGTCATTACTCAGTAATCAAATAGTGTATGATAACTAATAGTATTGTTAATACGGTACATAATATATTCGGAGTTTATTTTAGTATTTAAGGTGAACGTTTGAATTGGGTACATAACACGTATTGATCAGTAGAGTAGTTATTATATTCTTATGACTGAATGTAATATTATGTCTATATGATTTTCTAAGCTATCTTACTAGTAATTAATAGATTTAAAAGATCAACCTCGTAGAAGAATCTGTTGATATTCGACAATCTATTTACATGGAATAAACTTTCAACAATGGTTCATGATACTTTAACAACACATTGATTTTCATAATCTTTAACTAAGTTATTAATCACTGAAACGCCCGTTTACTACTGGTTGTTCACTAACTTAACTAAAAATCAATACCTGTGTTTACTTATTTGGATTGTTTTCTAATAGGTAGACTCGCTTGATAGTACTCTATTAATATATATAATAGTCAATTTTTTTTAAAAAAAACTACAAACTGAGTTAATCTACTCAACCTATAAGATATAATCAACTAAGATTTATTCTGCTTCTTTTATCAAGTCAATATTCTGTACAAACTTCCTTACAATTATTTTACTGCTTTAAGTGAGAAAAAAGAAGGCAAGTCAGTTAGTCGTATACAATGTACATGTGCATCGGTTTGGGTTGAAACATTATCATAACAAATCACATAGTAGTAGAAGTAGTAACTGTATTAGTGGTATTAAAAGAGATTAAATACACAAAGAAAGTATAATTATATTTCATGACTAAAAAATATAAAGAAAGACAACGAGTAAATGTATCTATACCACTAGGAACAGTTTTGAGACATGTCATTCAATATCTCCAACCACTGGTTACGATAATCACACGGACCCCAACCAAATAGACTACACCAAACTACATGACTCAGTTCATCAGGCAATAACTTTATGAAATGATACCACATCTTGGCTTATCCACTTCTTGATTTCTACCCACCTACTCAAAAACCAGACTACATTGTTATACCCTAGAGAAGATTAAATTAAGAGTAACTTCCGAGAACTATTAATGGACTAATATAATATATGTATATATTCCTATTGTATAACTATTCAGTAACTAGATTACATATATCCATATTCCCTTATTATAAGCTTCATTTTGATCTATAGATTATTATTGTACGATTTACTGTTCTCAATTTATACTCAGTTATTTGATTACCGTTTCCCACATTCACAGCCACTTTTCGGCCTGATCTCGTATAAACGTTATTTCCTATTTTATGGTGCGATGAGGTCTATTTGATTGGTAGGTAAACCAAGTATGTTTGAAATGAATGATTTGCATAGTGGAAGCTGTTATTGGTGTTCTGGACTCAATTGGACGGTCTAGGACCGATAAGGACGCTAGGCTGATCAGACCGGTTGAACGTCATTGGTTTAGTACAGCACAAGAGTGAATAAGTCGTATTTCGATTGGCGAATAAATTACGTGATAACTAGCCGAACTTAAAGTCATAAAAGATACCCTGTAGAGGTAGGCAGTGGGCTGGGTTTACGTAATGCATGTCCCATCTACTTCAGTCGTTGAAGATTCACTACCTCGCCAATCAATTTACAATCCCTATCTAATAACTTGGATCTAATCTCAGTGTATACATAGACCCAAAATGTCATAGCTCACATTGGACGAATAGAAGGAAATTAACAAGATGAATATCCTTCAACATGAGAAGTCAATTGCTTCATTCAATAAAATGAAAGTACGTCAGAGAATAAAATATTTGAGACATAATTCAACTGTTTTTACTTTCTTTAATTATACACCTTTGAATTACAAGTATAACTGATAAAAAGTTCATTTCAATTACTGCAATCAATTACTTAAAGAAACTATACATTTTAGTGAATTTTACCCACTCGGTGAATAATTACTTATGAAAAACAAACTGAAACATTTGACATAATTTAACCATGTAAGTTACTATGTTCAGTAGCTCCGTTTCTATTTCAAGTACATATAATCAGCAGTATAGACGCACAATGCCTATGTGTTTAGGACAAGTAATTTTATTGAATCAATCGGACGGTGAGTCATTTGTGTATATATTGAAAAAAAGGGAGAAGTAGAACAATTCACCATGGTATTTGAGGTCATGATAAAAGATAAGTAGCATAGACACCAAGGTGAGTAACACCTAGAAGAGAAATACAAAGTCAATAGACCTAGTGAAAAATGAACATAGAAAGGAGGGAAGCACGAACGACTCATACCTTATGAGGAAAATAATTTTCTTCTAAACAACAAATATTTAAACTGCAATGACTCATTAGAAGTTAATAAAAGGCTAAAAAAAGTAGATAAACAGGTCTGAGCCAATATTTTCTTTTCAAATTTATAACTTGTGGGGTGATTAGGGGGAAGGTATTTAAATGAATAACACTGTTGTGAATCAATAAATATAAATTTGTAAAAATCCGCAATTTATGGTTTGTTATGTAATAAGTAAAAGAATAGGGGCGGTAACG